TCAAGAGACACAACCAGAGTTGTGCTTTACTGTATAATTTAGTTTAATTTTTTATTTAACCTAAGGCGACTAAAAAGGTTCAAATCAATGATAATGAAGCAGACGTATCCGTTGTTGGTTTCACTAATTCACAGTATTATGGGGTATAATTAGTCATTTAACTCATTCCTTGTGAAGGAGTAAGTCGGAGAGAAAAATAGTGAAGGAAAAAAATAAAATAAAAGAGTGTATGGGAAAAAATAAATATGACAACAGATAATAGAATTAATTAGGAGTAAAATTTGTTAAGAAAACATTTTAATATTCATACAACTCCAAACTGGATCTTATTAAACCAGTTCAAAAATTAAGACCAAAGGTAGCATTAATCATATTAATTAATTACTTTCCCACACACAACAAAGTAGTGTAGCTTGTAATCCTCATAACAAACAGGAATTTAAAATTTACAACAATCACACGTATCACGTGCATGCCATAAAATACCTCTAAATAGAATATCTCAGGTCAGGCTACGTTTTCCAGTATGTTATTGACCATTTAATAAATATGACCGACTTTTAACGAAATGTAAAACACACTAATTAGTTACTTCTAGTCTCTTCCTATTTTCCATATTGTTTTAATAATTGGACATCACGATCAGTGTCTCTTATATCAAGATCTGCAATTTAACTTAATGACAAATTGAAGATCATTTTCAAATTACAAAGTCACGCGCACACATTCTTGTTTCAGTACAAAACTTTCCAAATGCTGAGAGAAAAAGAAAGCAAGCATAACAAAGTGAAGAAAGAAATTATTTTGAAAGTAAACAGAAGAATATCCAACTCATGAGGCTTACCCATCTTGATGCCAAACATCAATTTTCTTTTATCTCCAACAACAGTATGAATACATTTTCCTATTGAGCAGCAGCATCCGCATTTTTTACTGTCACCTTTTCTTGGCCGAGAATGATGATTGAATACATATATTATGTCAAACTGCAAAGACGGGAGAACATAATAATATTAGTTAATAGAATTTTTTGGGGTATAATATTAGTTAATAGATATTAATGATTGAATATAGGGTTTGCACCAGAAAGAAAGATGTAACTAAAAATCAATTCAAGAATTTAATTTTCTTGGTTACCTTCAAATCTCGGCTCGCAGCAATCAGCACATTGCCCATCATTTGATCAGTACTTGGTTATGAAATCCAGAGGAGATAAAAGGTTTACTGCTTCACCACAATTTGCACCTGCAAATACAAGTGGCCAAATCATGAAGACTCTTTCCTTAGCCTCTGCTGACTGTTGCAGAAGTTGAACTCTCTGGTAAATAGACAGAAATCTAGCAAAATAGAAGGACTTGTGAAAAATAGTTTCGTCTTTCAATAGAACAAAATTACATGAAGATAAATCATTTTTCATCCTAAATATAATCATCTTAAGATTTGGTTGGTTATTTCACTTCACCGACATTTTTTTTTTAATCACGGTATCTAATGAAACTAAGCTATACATACCAAGTTTCCTATTATGTTATGCTTTACTGGAATTCTGCATTAAGAAACATCAGCGTATTTGTTTGAGATGATACATACTCATTCTAAGAAGCCAAGAAAGTGAAATCTTAATTTTGGAAACAATTGGATATAAACACATCAATAGAATTAAATATATTGCAAAGTAACACATTTTTATTTAAAAGCATCATCCATATTTGTCCAGGGCAGCTATGGTATAACAATGTCAAACTTAGTTGATGAACTGTAAAAGAGAGATACATACCGATCAAGTAATGTATTGTAGGTTGTTTATTTATGATGAGTGTGTTTCTCCGTAGATTCCAAATTCAATTGGAGTAGAAATTCAGGAGCATAATGAGATGTCTTGGACTCAGAATTCAGGGGAATAGATTGAATGATATCTATATAAGAGTCCTTCAATTTCTTTGTTGAAGGGAGCTGATGTTGGTCATCATCAATATTCTGAAGCCTCTTTTTAGGCATACTTACCTCCACTTTCTTTTGTTGGAGGAAGTTTGTGTACTCTGAGACATATATTGGCGGAACTCCACATGCTTTGATCAAGCAATCACGAATATAGACACACCCTCCATCGATCTCGCCATCACCAAACTCAAATTTAAATTCAAGCTCCTCATTATAACCTTTTCCCTTGCTTCTCTGTTCACGTAGTATGCGTTCACAGTATAGGGGATCGTACCATAGAAACACATTATCATCTGAATTCAATTTTTCCATTGAATAGTGCCATCCTGTTGGACCTTCCAAAGGAACGATAACATTTTCCCTATGCCGTTCGCAGTGACATGATGAGTGACATTGATCCCTTTCTTTTGAGGAGAAATGAGGTATGACAAAGCAGAAAATGAAACCTATTAAGTTTTCAAAATCTGGAGCAAGCTGAACACTCACTTGTATACCTTTATACCCTATTATTGAACTTTTGTAAGTAAACCACTCTGGAATAGTACTTCCTTCAAAATTGCCACATTTTTCTTGCTTCAATGAGAATCTAACATATTGTAGTATTTCATGAAACGAATTCTCATCAGCATAATGACAGGACTCTTTTTGGGTACCCAAGTTTGGCTCCCGTCCCATTTGTTGAATGAAGTCGTGATATTTCGAGGCATATATTGGGCAGACTCCACATGCTTCAATCACACAATCAACGAGCTTCTCTCCAAATTTGGCAACAGAGAATTCAAATGACACCTTTGGCCTGTAATTGGTGTTTTGGTTGTCCGTTGCTTTGTGGAAGTTTATGAATAGGTCAGGATCACACCACAAAAAGACATTATGTAATTCCGAATTTTCATTCGTATTAAATTGAAACTGAGAGCAATTGCACTGCTTACCATCATAATAAAGTTTGCATTGCAAGTCAGCGCGAGAGGGATGCTGAGAAAGAATAGCACAAAAAACGAAGCTGATTAGGTCGTTTGTGGTTGAAGGAGACTCAATAGTTATATAGTTAGAAGCCTCTGTTCTCTGATTAGATTCAAACCACCCTGGAACTTTTCTTCCAGGATAACAGACACTACCTCTTCGTTCTGTGTACGCCAATCGCTTCAATGAGAAATAAGAACTTTCCGTAACATGAGATAGAAAGCAGTTCTCCAATTTCAAGCAATCTCTCAGAAATAGGGACTCCAATTGTGGTGCAAAAAGTATTGAAATGTGTACAATCTCCAATGATATGCAGCCATGAGCGAAGACGGTTTTGATGGATGGCGGCAGTTCCGGCAGAGAATGAAGTCTTGTACAATTGGTTAAGTCTATTTCTTCCAGATTTGAAAGATACTTGATACTGGAAGGCAAGTTCACTACAATACTTCCACTCAAATCCAACGAAGACAATAAAGATAAGGAGCCGATGCTTTCAGGGAGTTCATACAACTGTTCACACCCACTCAAATCCAGTGAAGACAATGAAGATAAGGAGCCGATGCTTTCAGGGAGTTCATACAACTGTTCACAACCACTCAGATCCAGTGAAGACAATGAAGATAAGGAGCCGATGCTTTTAGGGAGTTCATACAACTGTTCACACCACCAAGACTAAGCTTTCGATGATTTTGGAGATAACTAACTGAGGAACTAACCGAGGAACGGAGCGTTGAACCCAACATTATTTCATCTGCCAATGATGGAGATTCAATATGAGAAGTGAATTGTAGCGTCTTTAATGATGTGCAGCCGTAGGCATGTAATTCTTCAATGGATGGAGGAAGCTCTGGTAAAGATTGAAGGTCCCTGCATAGCTTACATCAAGAGACTGTAGCCTGGAGAGATGCTTGATATTGTTTGGAAGCTCAGTTAATGTGAATGACGACTCCAAAGAAAGTGATTTCAGAGATCGCAAAGCATCAAATAAGCTATGGAGCTTTGATTTGTCGATCATTCCCTTGTACCTCCAAAGATGAAGCTCCTCAAGAGATCTCATGCAACAAATGTCATTAATTGGAAGACTCCTTAGTTTGAAACCATTAAGAGAGAGCCTCCGAAGTTTGTCCATGTGCCCAATTGAAAAGTCTAAATTCTCGACTGGTGAGCCCAATAAATCTAGAGCAGTTAGTTTGTCTGAAGAGAATGAAAATTCCTTGAGACTAGAGCAAAACCCAACATCTAGCTGTGAGATCGATTTTGATTGGCTCCCTGCTTCCAAACTCTCTAGGTTTTTGCAAGACATAGATTTACTCCCCTCAATCTCGGAAGAGATAAAATGGATGGATGAAGATGGCATAAACTTTCACACCCGACAAGATTAACCCATTCAAGTCTTTCAGCGGTTGACAAATCTGGCAACTCTATCAATTTCTTGGATCCCTGAAGGTTTATATTCCTTAAACTCACCAAGTCCTGCAACAATTAAGAAGCGAAATATTACATAGGAATCAAGAGTCTTAAATTTGAATCAGATTGTCAAAAGGAAAAATTATACAACTCGTATTTGTATATTATACCTGCTTGCCATCCCATAGTTTTCGAAGGTAGCTATTAGGCATATGAAGTTCAACTAGCTTCTCGGCACAAAATGACATTGGCAAATACTCTAAAGGAAAATTGTCCCACTGAAGATACCTTAACGAATTAGGAAATGATTGAAGCCCTGAAGGAAGTTTCACAATGCATGATCTTTTATCGTTAGGTGAATAGAGTTTCAGAAGCCTTAAATTTGCCACCTCTCTAAAGACATAAGCACTCAATTCAAAATCTTTAATTTGAGACAAACATAAACTTATGCCTTGAATTGCACCACTTCCCTGAACAACACAGAGGCCCAAAAGAAAATAATTAAATTGCTTTATATTAACAATTTCTTTTCATTCGTTTTCAAGTGTTTAATTAGAAAGGTAAATATTTTTCTTACTCGATTATCTTTTAGGACGTCGATGATCTCATTAGAGCTCCATAATCGACTGCGTCCTCCAGGATTCTTACACTCTTTGCGAACAATTTCAAAAGCCATTGATTGAATTAGATCATGCATCCATACCACGCCATGATGAAGACTTATCAAAGCCTTATCCACAAGAATTCCCAGACCAATGCTTGCGTGAAAGCCAAAAATGTCTAGCATTGCTTCTACATATTCTCTAGATCTACCTTTAAAAAAACAAGCACTGTCTAAAAATATCTCCCTCACTTCGTCATCAAGTCCATCGTAGCTCAATTTTAACACAACTTGAATACCTTCAATGGCCAACCTCTCTAATTTTCTCAACGCACTTTCCCATTGATCTACAGGTCTGGACTGTAGAAGCGAACCCAAAACGGTTAAGGCCAATGGGATGCCTTTGGCATAAGCAAGTGCTCTTTTAATTAGTTCTTCATATTCACTTTCATAACCATCTTTGTGGAAGGCTTTGAGGTTGAAAAGCTCAAGTGAATTGTTGTAGCTCAATGCTTTGGCCTCATGTATTTTATCAACTCTTCCATTAAGCACATGCTTATCCCTACTTGTTATGATGACTTTACTACCAGGTCCCAAAGGAGGAGCTTCACTTTTCAACTCATCTAACTGCTTTGTGTTGCTAACATCATCAAGTACAATCAAAACTCTTCTACGATCGAGCCTCCCAAGAGATGTATCCTTTGATAGTTCTCGGAAAAGTTCATCACGTACATATTCTAACCCATGCTTTTCATACTTTTCCGTAAAATTCTTCAAGAAGCAGCAACTATCAAATTGAGAGCAGAGCTTGGTAAACACAACCTTAGCCATTGTTGTTTTGCCTATCCCGCCCATCCCTCAAATCCCAATTGTTGAGCATTCTTCTAGCAACAACTCAATATGATCCAAATTCTCATCAATTCCAACAATATTTTCTAATACACTTCCTGAGTATCCATGATTTAGTTTGTTGATGACGTCATTGACAATATTTTGAATAAGTTCTGCTTCATCCCTGCTATAAAAAAAGAATTATGGAAGAAAGTATTAATGTATCAAATGAAAATTAATTAAAAAAATAATATATTAAATAAAGTGACAACTAATTGATGACGGTTTTTCTATATGATAAGATTATTATTTTTTAAAAAGCGACAAATTTCTTCATAGTTTTATCAAAATTGTATGGATATTTTTCCTCCATGTTCAAAATTATTAAGAAGGATTCATTCAAACGTAAGAAATGTATACATAATTTACTCTATTATGAGTTATTCGTAATGACAATTAATCCAAAAAAAGGTTACGTTGAAGAGTTGAAAAATCAACTTTCATCTGATAGGGAAAAAAAGGAAAAGAGGGAAAAAGAAAAAAAATCAACTTTCAGAGCTAAAGTATCCAATTTTGAGATGACGCCATTTAAATAATGTTTTTTTTCATATAAACCCAATAATGTAAAGAAATTAATTTTATATGTCATATACAGACGAGTATTGCAATAAACATGATCAACATCATTATTCGCTACCAGTTAATTAGTTGTCAGATGAGCTAATATGGAAAGAAAAAGCAGTTTATATGAAGATGAAGACCAATCACAGGAATAAATAAAAGCATGATACTCTGATTCAGATACTTGGAGTTAGAAAAGGAAGAGTGACCTGTAGTTGCAGGAGTCCCATCCTGCTAGATTTGCAATCTCAAAAAGTGCTTGTCTCCACTCCTCCACCTTCTCTGGGTTTTTCTCCAGATGTTCTGTGAATGCTTTCTCATAAGCTCCCCTTTGTTTGCGTACATGAGATGGGTGATTTCGTAGAAGATAGGGACAACAATCTGTGCCTGCTGTTGTTTGCAGCGAAGGATCTGAAGGAGCTCATTCAAACACCATTTGGAGGAGGCATAATTTTGAGAGAAGACCACCACAGAGATGGATGAATCCTGAATTGCTTCAATGAGTGATTGGGAGATGTCATCGCCTTTTGGGAGCTTATAATCAATGTATATCTCAATATCTCTGAGGCACAAGGCAGTATGGAGATGGCTGGTGAAGGATCTGCGAGTGTCCTCTCCTCTGAAACTCAGAAACACATCATATTTCCTGGAAGAAGAAGATGATGATGGGGAAGCTATGGCAAACATGGTATTCTGATTACTCTCTCGGATCTCTCTCTGTCTTCTTTGCTGAGAAATGGCAAAAGTCAACTAATGATGGAGTATGGATGGCAGCGGATAGACTTTATTCACTTTTTCAAGTCTTCAGAGCCAAATGACACGGCAACTGATACTTTTACTCTTTTCACATTTGAATTAATAACAAATTTCATTCCCATCCTAACCCCAGCACCTTTCTTTTAGCGATAAAAAGTAGTATATATTTTAGAGATAATAATTTGCGTAGGCTCCAAATGAAAACATTATTATCTAAGACCCATAAATAATACTATCTCTGATTTTTAATATAGCAGTTTGTTTGATTTTTATTTTGGTCCTAAATATAATATTCTAATTCACTTTGTCTCTCATATTTATTTATTTTTTCAATATGGTTTTTGTAATAATAATAATTCTAATCAATATACTTGATTAGCAAGGATATTTTAGAAAAGACGTGTTTATTTATTATAAATAACTAATTAACTAGTTTTCTTAATTTACTTAAATTAATTAACTAACTCTTATATTAATGACAGGTAGTATCACAATCTATCACTAATAATTATTCTTTTCGGTTTTTCAAGATAGACCAAAACATCATGACAACATTGTCCGTCCTTCATACCATGATTTACAGGGAAAGGTCGTACCCTCAATGGCATGTGAATGGTTTGTACGTAAAAGATGATGTTGGTGCTTCCTGCCAATCGCTCTGTTACTTCTCGGCGGCTTCCCCGCACTAAACGTAGCTAGGCGGAACGTTCCAATCAAAATTTAATTGCTCATTTGCTCTCAACTTTCACATGTTGGCGTTAGGGACATTGTTGTTACTAACTTCTATTTTTCAATATAAAAACTACTTACTAATTTAAATATATAAAAATAAATAGATTATTTAATTATAATAAACATGACATGATCTTCTTAAAATATTTTTTTATAGAGTATTATATTATATATATCAATTTATAATATAAATAAATAGTTTGAAAAAATGATAAATATGATAAATATATTAAGATCTTATATATAATATTAAATTTAACTCACAACTAGTTCTTGTATCAAAAAAACTGAATAGAGTAATTGTTAGTGATAATAGGGTCGATTCTGTTTGAAATTGTGTTAGATGATGGGTTACTATTTGTTAGTGATGATAGGGTCAATAAAATGATGGGTTCTAGTATATTTTGATGCTGCTTGTCCTGTAACAAAATAAATTGGAATATGTAGAAGATCCATTTGCCAAATTAAAATGCGCAAGGTTTGAGAACCAATACACAGAGCAATAATGCAAAAGCCCCACCAACACCGACTGATCATCTACAAGAATAATTACCACAGTTACTATAATTAACATGAAAGGATGCAAAAATACCTATAAATTTTTACTTAAAGTGCATCCATCACCATAACCTTTGCGGAGGTACAAAAGTATAATAATATAATAAAATTTATTTTTTTAAAAAAACTGAAGTAATTAAAGGAGGAGATTTCCATTAATGTGGTGGTTTTTAATACACATTATTAAAAGAGTATTTAGGTAAACCCACAAATATTTTTAAAAAAAATTAATAAAATTACCTAACTCCTATATTGAAAATTGGAGGGAGTATATGTTTTTTTTTTGGGGCACATTAAGTTTTTTTTTTTTTTACCAGAGGGCACATTAAGTATGCAGTCAAGCCTTTGGGAGATTCACATTTTCATGAAAGCTTCTTCCGGTAAAAAAAAAAAAAAAACAAACAAACGAAAGCTTCTACGTAACTAAGGTCCAACAAAATGTGCGGCCTTCGCTGAAAAGTTGATGTTGATGCTCCATGGCAATTGCTTTACTATTTCACTGCAACTTCCCCTTAGAGTGGTTTGGAGGAATAATAATTACGCTGTTCCTTCTCTGCAGCTTTCACCAACTGATTGTAGTGTCAGAGTTTTAATTGTTAGAGATAGTAGGGTCAATTGTGTTTGAAAGCGTGTTAAAGAGTACCAAACATGCAAACAATTAAAATCAAATTAAGACGTAACAGAGTAATTAAAGAGTACCAAACATGCAAACTCCTACGTATATTCAGTCCAAAAAAAAAAATCCTCCGTATATTGAAAGCGTGTTAAAGAGTACCAAACATGCAAACTCCCCTTGTTGCTTGTTATAAAATCCAATTTTTTAAATGGGTCTGTTTTTTTTATAAGATTCTTTTTAAGTTTGTCTAAGTATTTAATATATTATTACTTATTTTATCCCTATTTTAATGCATTTAATACATTATTTTTCTTCATTTATTTTACTTTTTTTTACCATTCATTTATTTTACTATTAGTCTCTTACATTTACCCATTTATATATAGGGATATATTTGGAAAAAAATTGCATTTATTACATATTAATCGTTTTTAACTAATATTAACTGTTTTCTTAAACCATATAATTTAGTTAAGAGGATTTTATAACAAGTGATAGAGATAGTAAGTTATAATTAATGTGTTACTTTTTGGATCAAAACAATATCTGTTATTTAGAACTCAAGTCGTTGGCAGAATTGCACAGTTGGCTTCCATATTAAAGTGGTGCATGTCCTCATTGGAAAAGTTGTGACTGGAGGGAAGAATAAATGGCCCAGCATGAACTATTATACCAAGTAATTGGGCTAATAATATACACTGTACAATGACATACAAACCTGTGGAAAGTTGAAAAGTCTTTCGAACAATCTTGGGTTTGATTTAAATATAAAATTAAAGTGTGTTTTTTTTGGCAACAAAATTAAAGTGTTTTTTAATTATCAGCAATCCTGAAAACAAGACACAGTTCTGTTGAAAAAAAAAAAACAACTCATAATTCACAGGTATTAAATATACATAAATACTACGTATTGCAAGTTTGAAAACTCTTTTTTTTTTTTGTTCTTGAAGTTTTTTTTTGTTCTTGAAGTATATTCTGATGCTACATGTACTGTAACAAATTGGAATATGTAAGAGACTATTTTGCCAAACTGAAATGCATAAAGTTTGAGAACCGATTGACGGACTAATAATGCAAGAGCCAGAGCTTGAGGGAGCAGAAGCCATTGCAGTTTGTTTCAAAGTGCAGAAAGAACAGTTTGCACACAATGGTGATGACGGAAATAGTCTTCGTGGAATCGCCGGTATAAGAGATGCTGTTAGTATGCCAGCTAAGTTCAGTTCTGTGGTAACGAAGCGGAGTATCCAACTAATAAGTAATGATTCGGTGGAAATTTTGAATCAAAATTTAATGGCACTGTTCTTTTCCTCCCTGCCAGCTGATAGTGGGGTCACGTTGTTAATGTCAGTGATGCTGCTCCCACTCATGGTAGGTCCAAACAATGGAGAACTGGACCCAATTTGGTACTCCATAACCACGTGAGGTTTGTACAGTTTAAATATAATTTCATTAGCCAGTATTTAATTTAAAATGTTTAACTCATAATTTTTAAATAAAAAACTGTTTTTTTATAAAACTGAAAATTTTAAAAATATCTTTATTTTTAATTCTGTATAAATTAAAATATTTTTTAAAAAAATAAAAGTAAAAAATAGATCTGGCATGCGTTTGAAAGTGAAAGCTTGCTAAAGGATGCTCTTCCGTTTCTTTTCATAAAGACAACTACCACTTCTACTTTATTCTGTATAAGAAATATTTGTAAAATGTCACAAATTTT